CATTAGAAACCAACCTTTTTGTCAGGCATGTCACAAATTGGCCCCACACACTCCGCAAGTGTCACTTCAGTGCCTTTCTCCTGCCCAATTTGCTGTTCTGCTTTCTGCTTCCTTCCCTCTGCTCCCTGCCCAATTTGTTTCTCTGTTTGCTGCTTCCTGCCCTGTCAGCCACTGTTCTGCTTGTCCCCTGATCTGTTGTGTATCACACAAGAGAGGCTGCCTAATGCCCATGCCACATGTAGCACCTCTGCCATCTGTTGGCTGCCCCAGAGCTACATGATAAGGACAAATATTGATTACTGAATATATTTCTCCCCATGCCTAGCTCTGATGACCATGTATCTCGGGTATTTTCATGGCTCCCTTACTGTTGTCTTTCATCCTTTAATAGTTTCATCCTTGAAGCACTCTGTGGGCTAGGGATGGGAAACAGAGGTACTAAGAGGCTAAGCAACTTGCCAAATATCACCCAGGAGGGCAGACAAGAGACATGACCCCCACCTCTTCTGAATCCCCAATTTACTCTCTAACCACTGGACCATCTTTCTTTTTTCTTCTACTTCCTGTTGGAGGTAGGGGTATTTTCTGTTTTTTTGAAGGTCCTCCACTGCAGCCACCAACTTTCTAGTGCAAATGCTTGCCCATTTCAGGATGCGGAGACTGACAGACGTTTCCCAGGGAGTGAGCAAGGGATGCCTCTGTGACTGTCATGTGGTGGTGTCTCAAGGTGGAGAGCAGGAGGGAGCACTGCTGGATGGTGCTGGCAGCAAACCATGGTGTAGAGGCTATTTGGCCACCAAGGGTCAGATAGGAGGGTCAGACAGGAGACGTTTCCACTTGGCTGGAAAAGTGGGGTCAGTTCAGGAGCACTTATACCATGGGTCTGGGAGAAGTTCGTTATTTAGGAGAGTGAATGAGTTTGACAACTGGGAAGAGTACAACGATCTGGTTTTTCTCATCCTTAGCCTTCCCTGTCCCTCTGCTTCCTTTCTCCTTATAGACCTCCTCCATGTCTTCATTCCTCTAAGGTCTCCCACCTTTCCCCTTCTTCCCCAGCCTTCCTGTTCCCTTCCATGTTATTTTCACTTCCCCAGGGCCAATATGTTTGCCTCTGTTAGGTCCTGATGAGACCCAGGCTTTGAGCCAAAGGCTGGGACATCATCTGAGATCCTATCCATGTGCCTCAGCAGGA